AAACAAGGACAACGTATTGAACTTTTAATCACCAGATCTTATGATGCTGTGTGATCATTCTGCAGAGACACAATGCAGCACTTTGCAGTTTTACATTTTGCTCACTCCTTTTCTTGAGTAATCGCCACCTATCAGATACTCAAAATGCATAGGATGAAACGGTATAATTACAGCACACAATAAGAATCTATGAATAATTTAAGTCTGTGACAGAGCTGGTAGATGATTACTCTGGTATCATTTTTGTGTGTGCTTGATAGTAGGTGAATTGAGTTGGCAGACAGGGTACCAATAACCAGGTGAAAATTGCCTTGAATACCTTGATCTTTGCATTGCATGTCAATGAACACACACACTCACACACACTGAATTATAATAGAAAACTTATTTTTTTAAAAAACCAATGAGCCAACTATGACCCTGTTTTATTCTGTGAATGCATGTCAAGGTCTGTAAGTTGGAGGCAATTCCAGAGACAGCTACTATGATTAATGAATATGGACATAAAAGCTCCAATAGCTGTGGATGCTGACAGAACATGAGGGTCTCGGATATAAATTACCCTTCACAAACCGCCACGTCTGTTCTTGTTTACCACCGTACGAGAGCACAACATTTCACACTCTCTATGAAACCCATTAGACTTCTTCTCCCGATTGCGCAAACATTGTAGGAACCCTGGCTAGAGGCTTTAACTCTGCCCTTAACTTACAGAGAGTATACCCACGTATAGTATGTCACACAAACCAGAGCCATTTATCTGCCTCTAGAGTTAAGAGTTACACCATCATCGTGCCCCCAATAGGTCCTTGCATAAGCTTCTTGCCAGGTAGGAAATGCAAGTCCAGCCATTTGGCAGAACTTTGGCGACTACTGCTTAGCAACAACATTTAGCTGCAGTAAATAGTCTGACTCACTGAAGCCTCGGTAAAAAAAAAATGACCCCAGCAGCTCCAGAAAATTACAGAAATCCCTTAAAAAACTATACTTAACGTGTTCTCACCTCATGGAGCTTAATTCAAAGATGCTTTTAAAAGGGTCTAATTTGAAGTATGAACTTCAGTAATCTACCGACTCTGTAGGGAGCTTGAACTAGAAAAGTCTTTTAACTGGAGGCCCAGTATGAACTGGAATTATCTGGGTTGGAGCGATGCAGGCGCAGCTTGACGCCCCAGTTTGAGAAAGGATGACTCTTCCCAGGATTAGCAGCGGTGAAAGCTAGCAGGGATTCCTGGTAGATGAGTAAATACTCACTGCCCAATCCTCTGCTTCACTTCATCTCCGCTCTCCATGCCTCCCCTCGCTCCACATCTCTGTTTCAACTTCTTCTGCAAGTTTTCTCTTCCCATCTCATGATTTGGCTCAGCATCTCGCTCTATGTTGGCTTCTTTTCATCCTGCTACTCTCGCTGACTACCCCTTCTCTTCTTCCTCCTCCTTTTCTCTCACTTTCCTTACGCAACAATCTCTCTATTCAACTTGCGTTCAACTCTCCTTTTTTGCTCTGTTTCGCCTCATGTCTTTCCTTTGTCTTCTCTGAGCTTTCTGGCTATTTTTGCAATCTCTCTTTTGTTGCCTTTTTCCAACCCTTTCTCTCTATACCTTTTCTCTATCCTCCTTCTAATCTCATCATCCTCTTCATATCCCTTTTCTCCTTCCATTGTCTTCATTTGGTTCTCTCTTTTCAACTTTCCTCCTGTTCTGTCACCATACTGTGATTCTTCCTCTCTCTCCTCTTCTTTCCCCTCATCTTTTCTCCTATACTTCCCTTTCCCCATCATTTTCCCATCCTTTAATTCCCTGTTTTCCTCAGCCTCTGTCCAGATTAGGCCCGTACTGACTCCTCAGTGAGTATTCAGGCTACAGTAGCTTCACTAATACGGAGGATTTATGGATGACAACTGCTGGCTTGCACTGTCACCACAAGATAGCTACTGTACTGTACATGAGGGAGACGGGGGAAGTGTGTGTATGAGTGTGTGTGCCAATCCAGCGCTGCAGCACGCGTCGTTTGATGTGGCCGGCGTCTTGTCAGTACAAGAACTACTCTGCTCACCGAGATAGCACTTAACCCAAATCCACTCTGGCTTTTTCTTTCCACCTCTCCGCTCTTTTTATCTCCTCTGCTGCTCTCGTGGAACACTTCACTCTTTTATCACATCTCTTCTCATCCTTGGGTTTAAACTCTCTTCTCCCTCTCCTCCTCCTCTTCCCTTGTCTTCTCTTTTATTCTATCTTCTCCTCTTCTGCACCACCTGCACTAAACTCTTTTTGTGGTTTAACACCTTTTTTTTTCTCTTTCATCACTTTACCTGTGTAAGTGATGCCTTTACCCCTTAACACTTATCTCTGTGCTGCATTGTTTGGCACAGTCTGTGTGTGTGTGTGTGTGTGTGTGTGTGTGTGTGTGTGTGTGTGTGTGTGTGTGTGTGTGTGTGTGAAATCTCTCTTAAAGACTGACTGAATATTAAGAGCCTGTTGGATGATCCTTCCCCTTGTGCAGTCTGGTGAAAGAAGCCATAATATTCTGCATGACTGCCAACCAACAGGGAAAAATATATTACCATAAAATACTCAACTGGGTTAATTCCGCAGGAGATGACTGACATTCAACAAGAATAAAATATTAATTTCTAGAATCTGCTATTCTTACACAGACCTACATACTATTTTCATGTTCCAAGTTTTGTATTTAGTCTTTATGGGATAGTTTATCATAACTATGGTCTTTTTATAGTAGTTTTGTTTTTTAGTAGTAGTCATTATTTTGATAATCACAACATTAAACTTAGCCACACAAAATAAAATACATTATATACATTGTAGAGTCTATTCAGTGGCAACAATGGTTCAATAAAATCTGTCAGAGCAAGAAATACAAGCAGACAATCATACAGATTTTACACAAACCCCAAGGTTGGCTTAAATATCAGTTTACAAACAACTTCCTGTTTCAAATTTGACCCTCTGTACGTACTGCAGTTTGCTCACACAGACTTTTGCTGAGCAATAAGGGATTGTTGCATTTTGTTACATTTACAGTGCACTAACTTTCATTTTTATCTCCAAATAAAGTCTTTAAAGCTGCTATAATCAATATTTTTTTATGTTCACTCCAAATGACTTTTTGTGAGAGAAATGACCCCACAGAGAATTATCACCAAACTCTGTAGTTCCCTTCTATTCTTTGCTTTTTAGCTTCTTTCAGCTCTGTTTTGGTTTCCATCTGCAATTTTATTGTTTTGGGCCTCGTCAGTGTGGTTCTTACAGACAGAAGCTGTTTCCGCCAAAACAGCTTTAACAACTCCACTGCATGCTACCTGCCCAGCTTTAAGCGGCAGATGGACAGTTACTGACTAGCTGGTGATATTTTCCTCAGGAGTTGATGGAGACCAGAACAGAGCTAAAATACTAAATATTGGACACCCATTCATCAGGTGAACGACTCAATATTCGGTTCTTGCCGGAAGTAGCAATGTTGCAATTGCAATAATTAACGCAAATTATACCAATCCCCGTGGATTCCCGACCTTGCAATTTTGTCTTATCACCACAACTTTTCCACAAATTCAATCATTGTAGTGACTCCTGCACTTCCATTATACAGCTGTAGGGGGAGCTCTTGGCCAGCGTCTCAGTCATTAAATATACTGACTTGACAGCTGAGCAGTGCCTGTTGTTTCTAACTCAAGGTATGTCTTCCCCTATTCAAGTGTGTAACATAAACAGACAACTGTTTGCTAACATGTTTGCCATATCAACCTAAAAGGTGCTAATATATTGTTTACTGCTTGTTTCTGCTGCCCTCAAGTGGCCAACAAATCTATGATTGCAGGATGAGGTTAATCTGAATCTGAATCTGTTCTGGCTGAACTGCTGGTTTTTCTTCATCTGCCCTCCTGATCATCGTTCTGTGACTGACTACCTTAGTTGTAAAGTTATTTAAAACAGAAAAACCCTCAAAAGCCCAATCTTTGATAAAGTGACAAAAAAGCCAAAGATTCAAGCATTTATTTTCTATTTAGTTCACTCAGATGAGGACTTTTCTTTCAGAAAGCTGTAGCAACAAGTTAAGTTTCCTTTTTAAATAAATGTCCTTTTCTAACCACCATGGCAGTTTTTTCAGTTATTTCAAGAAAACCAGGACCAAAGTTGCCGATTCACAACCTTGTACTACTACAATATCTGCTCAGCCCTGAGTCACTTTAGGCTCTTCACGCTATTCCGCTCTGTGATTTTGGGAAGCGTGTCTATGTTCCAAAATGCTCAAAGCCTTTTCAGACTGCAGCTACTTCACCTGGCACTCATTATTCCTACCTAAAGTACACTGTGGTACCCGTACTGTGTTATTTGGAATATCCATATTGAATGAAGAACTCGATATCCTGAGTGATATACATTGTGCAGTCCTTTTGCCAAAGCCTCATATCCCCCCCCCCACACACACACACCAGAAAATCATCATTAGCTCATGTTACCATTAATTATAGTTTATTGTGTTTATTTACAATCAAAGAACATTATCTACATGCTCTGACAATAACGACAGGGCAAAATGAGAGAGTCTCCTGCACATAATTTCTCCAACAATTCAATGCTCCATTTAGTCCAAAGTGGCTGATGATTATGACAAGCTGGATTACCATCAACAGCAGCAGAGTGGCGAGGTGACGGTAGTCTGGGTTTGGATAATTTAGCAATTTTTAAATTCAAAACAGGTTGTTCCATCTCATCCTCTCTTTTGTTTATGAATAAATGATTTCTCATCATTGGCTTCTCTCCCTGTTCATTATAACTGAAATTATTGGCCAACACTTTCACTCATACTAATTCACCAAGCTGCCCTCTAACCACACACACTCTCCACACAAACACACACGTATCTAGACACACACACCAACACAAAAGTGCAATATCTTTGTAAATGTGTTCTCGAGCACATAATCTGTTGTGATGTGTCCTGAAACACGGTATTGACCTGGGCTGGCAATCAACAAAATCAATTACAATTAAAGCTGCAAGCAGCGTTGGGCGGGACCTCGCACCCGGCGCTCGTCGGGGCGCGCCGCAAACGCGTCACGTGCGGTCGGGGTGCGCCGAGGCCACGCCGCGTGCCGTCGCAACAAGCGCGGACCGCAACGCGAATACGTCACGTAAATCTGCTCCAAATCAGCTCCGTATCGCCACGCAGCGCTTCCTTCCTGTTGCCAGTATGCTGTGCTTTCACTTTATCTGAATCTTGTCACGTAGACAGGTTCAGGGCGGGACTGTAATACGTAGGCTGATGTTATGAGGACGCGTTCAGGGCGAGACTGTTACAGAATATATGAAGTTTATTGGAAATTGGACATTGCACACTGAAGTTACGAGTACCGCTTAATGGAAAATCATCAGAATTCGACAAGGGGTCAGTGGCACGCAGTTTGACGTACAGTCACAAATAGCTCAGTTCTTCATGTACACATTGTTTTTATAAGACTATCCAATTTTGAAGACGATTTGATAAGTCCCCTATTTATCTTGCAATTTAATAAGTGACTTCCAGCGGTTTCCCACTATGCTCCACGAACAATACTCCCTAGGAAATATGGTTTGTAGATGTGGCTAGTGGGAGCGGAGGGGTGTTTGTGTTTCATCACTTTGAAAAAAAAGACCACAGAATTCAAAATGTGCAACTTTGACGAGACACCTGGGACACGCCCTTCAACGTACAGTCATAAATAGCACAACTTGTAATCAGCAAGATTATTCAAGAGTCCCGTCAAGTTTTGAAGCCGATCTGATAAATTCTCTAGGAGTTTGTTTGTTCAAATACAAGACCACAGACTTCAAAATGGCCAACTTTGAGGGCACGCCACGGACACGCCGTTCAACGTACAGTCACAAAATGATATGCATTCATTCAGCACCATGTTGTGACTGTACTGCCCAATTTTGAAGAAGATCCGATAGAACCTGTAGGAGGAGGTCATTCAAATAGAAGCCCTGAAAGGCCAAAATGACATCACAGTGTGACATTTGTTCAAAATGGCGAACTTTGAGGGCACGCCACGGACACGCCCTTCAACGTACAGTCACAAAATATAAGGCGTTCATTCAGCACCATGTTTTGACTGTACTGACCAATTTTGAAGAAGATCTGTTAGAACGTGTCAGAGGAAATCATTCAAATAGAAGCCCTGAAAGGCCAAAATGACATCACAGTGTGACATTTGTTCTAAATGGCCAACTTTGAGGGCACGCCACGGACACGCCCTTCAACGTACAGTCACCAAATATATTGCGTTCATTCAGCCCCATGTTGTGACTGGACTGCCCAATTTTGAAGAAGATCCGATAGAAGCTGTAGGAGGGGATCATTCAAATAAAAGCCCTGAAATGCAAAAATGACATCACAGTGACATTTGTTCTAAATGGCCAACTTTGAGGGCACGCCACGGACACGCCCTTCAACGTACAGTCACAAAATATAAGGCGTTCATTCAGCACCATGTTTTGACTGTACTGACCAATTTTGAAGCAGATCTGATAAATTCCCTAGGAGCAGTTAGTTCTAAAACAAGCCCAAAGAGTCAAAATGACCACAAAATGGCTGCCAAAAGTGCAAATTTTAAATGAAAATAGCCGACTTCCTGTGGGATTTGAGGTATGGGTCCAAGAGGCTTTTCTGTACGCCCCGGCACATTATACATGCCTATTGAGTTTCGTACATGTCGGTGAAACGTGGCGCCGGGGCTGATGTTTTTTTATCCTGTAGGGGGCGCTACAAGCAGGACAAACAGGATTTTTGGTATGTGAGCTTCAGGCACCACTCTACACGTACCCTGTGAATTTCATATTCATAACTATTACGAGTGATTTATCATGCCAAAAGAGCACCACCTAGTGGCGTATTTTTTTTGTCCTTTTTAGGTGAGCCTCAGGGAGCCATGGGGAAGCAGCGTACCAAGTTTCATCTTAATCACACATACCGTTGTAGAGCTATAAACTCCTTCATTTTAAAGAGCGCCACCTTGTGGTGATGACCTGAAATTGTGCACGATGCTTAAGGAAGACATGGGGAACTATGGACCCAAGGTTGGTGTAAATCGGACATACCAATGTGGAGAAATACCCCACTTCCTTTTTTGACGAAAAATCAACAGGAAGTGCTAATTTTATAACTTCCTTATTTTTTAAAATATCAAAAATGTTCAAATTACTTTTGTTGTCAGGACGGTCCACAGATGCTACGTGCAAAATTTCGTGCGAATCGGACAAAGTGTGTAGGAGGATACCCGGAACAGTCATTTATGGACATTTTGCGCTCTAGAAAAAAAAAAATCTAGGCGGAAGTGGGCGTGGCCTATATGGGGAGGTTCAGCTCCATTCACCGAACGCGTGGATATAAGGTTTTTGAATGTGAGACAAACTATGCGGGAGTTATTAGCGTATCGAAATTGGCCTACAAATAGCGCCACCTAGTGGCCTTCCTAGTGGCTGACCTGCATGTGACGCATGGAATCTCCGATTTAAATGAGGCTTGACAAATGTGCCAAATAAAATGCGAATATTAGAATTGTTAAGGGGGTGAAAAATGCACTCAAAGTTCTGAAAAATAATAATAATTAAAGCTGCAAGCAGCGTTGGGCGGGACCTCGCACCCGGCGCTCGTCGGGGCGCGCCGCAAACGCGTCACGTGCGGTCGGGGTTCGCCGAGGCCACGCCACGTGCCGTCGTAACAAGCGCGGACGGCAACGCGAATACGTCACGTAAAACTGCTCCAAATCAGCTCCGTATCGCCACGCAGCGCTTCCTTCCTGTTGCCAGTATGCTGTGCTTTCACTTTATCTGAATCTTGTCACGTAGACAAGTTCATGGCGGGACTGTAATACGTAGGCTGATGTTATGAGGACGCGTTCAGGGCGAGACTGTTACAGAATATATGAAGTTTATTGGAAATTGGACATTGCACACTGAAGTTACGAGTACCGCTTAATGGAAAATCATCTGAATTCGACAAGGGGTCAGTGGCACGCAGTTTGACGTACAGTCACAAATAGCTCAATTCTTCATGTACACTTTGTTTTTATAAGACTGTCCAATTTTGAAGTCGATTTGATAAGTCCCCTATTTATCTTGCAATTTAATAAGTGACTTCCAGCGGTTTCACACTATGCTCCACGAACAATACTCCCTAGGAAATATGGTTTGTAGATGTGGCTAGTGGGAGCGGAGGGGTGTTTGTGTTTCATCACTTTGAAAAAAAAGACCACAGAATTCAAAATGTCCAACTTTGACGAGACACCTGGGACACGCCCTTCAACGTACAGTCATAAATAGCACAACTTGTAATCAGCAAGATTATTCAAGAGTACTGTCAAGTTTTGAAGCAGATCTGATAAAGTCTCAAGGAGTTTGTTTGTTCAAATACAGGACCACGGGCTTCAAAATGGCCAACTTTGACGGCAGGCCACGGACACGCCCTTCAACGTACAGTCACAAAATGAAATGCGTTCATTCAGCACCATATTGTGAGTGTACTGCCCAATTTTAGAAAAAGATCCGTTAGAAGAACGTGTCAGAGGAAATCATTCAAATAGAAGCCCTGAAAGGCCAAAATGACATCACAGTGTGACATTTGTTCTAAATGGCCAACTTTGAGGGCACGCCACGGACACGCCCTTCAACGTACAGTCACCAAAATATAATGCGTTCATTCAGCCCCATGTTGTGACTGGACTGCCCAATTTTGAAGAAGATCCGATAGAAGCTGTAGGAGGGCATCATTCAAATAGAAGCCCTGAAATGCAAAAATGACATCACATGTGACATTTGTTCTAAATGGCCAACTTTGAGGGCACGCCACGGACACGCCCTTCAACGTACAGTCACAAAATATAATGCGTTCATTCAGCACCATGTTGTGACTGTACTGACCAATTTTGAAGCAGATCTGATAAATTCCCTAGGAGCAGTTAGTTCTAAAACAAGCCCAAAGAGTCAAAATGACCACAAAATGGCCGCCAAAAGTGCAAATTTTAAATGAAAATAGCCGACTTCCTGTGGGATTTGAGGTATGGGTCCAAGAGGCTTTTTTGTACGCCCCGGCACATTATACATGCCTATTGAGTTTCGTACATGTCGGTGAAACGTGGCGCCGGGGCTGATGTTTTTTTATCCTGTAGGGGGCGCTACAAGCAGGACAAACAGGATTTTTGGTATGTGAGCTTCAGGCACCACTCTACACGTACCCTGTGAATTTCATATTCATAACTATTAGTTCGCACAGTGATTTATCATGCCAAAAGAGCACCACCTAGTGGCGTGATTTTTTTGTCCTTTTTAGGTGAGCCTCAGGGAGCCATGGGGAAGCAGCGTACCAAGTTTCATCTTAATCACACTTGCCGTTGTAGAGATATAAACTCCTTCATTTTAAAGAGCGCCACCTAGTGGTGATGACCTGAAATTGTGCACGATGCATAAGGAAGACATGGGGAACTATGGACCCAAGGTTGGTGTAAATCGGACATACCAACGTGGAGAAATACCCCACTTCCTTTTTTGACGAAAAATCAACAGGAAGTGCTAATTTTATAACTTCCTTATGTTTTATAATATCAAAATTCTTCAAATTACTTTTGTTGTCAGGACGGTCCACAGATGAAACGTGCAAAGTTTCGTGCGCATCGGACAAAGTGTGTAGGAGGAACACGAAAAAGACATTTATGGACATTTTGCGCTCTAGAAAAAAAAAAATCTAGGCGGAAGTGGGCGTGGCCTATATGGGGAGGTTCAGCTCCATTCACCGAACGCGTGGATATAAGGTTTTTGAATGTGAGACAAACTATGCGGGAGTTATTAGCCTATCGAAATTGGCCTACAAATAGCGCCACCTAGTGGCCTTCCTAGTGGCTGACCTGCATGTGACGCATAGAATCTCCAATTTAAATGAGGCTTGACAAATGTGCCAAATAAAATGCGAATATTTTAATTGTTAAGGGGGTGAAAAATGCGCTCAAAGCTCTCTAAAAATAATAATAATAATTAAAGCTGCAAGCAGCGTTAGGCGGGACCTCGCACCCGGCGCTGCGGGCGGGCCTCGCACCCGGCGTCGGCCAAACGCGTCACGTGCGGTCGGGGTGCGCCGAGGCCACGCCACGTGCCGTCGTAACAAGCGCGGACCGCAACGCGAACACGTCACGTAAATCTGCTCCAAATCAGCTCCGTATCGCCACGCAGCGCTTCCTTCCTGTTGCCAGTATGCTGTGCTTTCACTTTATCTGAATCTTGTCACGTAGACAAGTTCAGGGCGGGACTGTAATACGTAGGCTGATGTTATGAGGACGCGTTCAGGGCGAGACTGTTACAGAATATATGAAGTTTATTGGAAATTGGACATTGCACACTGAAGTTACGAGTACCGCTTAATGGAAAATCATCTGAATTCGACAAGGGGTCAGTGGCACGCAGTTTGACGTACAGTCACAAATAGCTCAATTCTTCATGTACACTTTGTTTTTATAAGACTGTCCAATTTTGAAGTCGATTTGATAAGTCCCCTATTTATCTTGCAATTTAATAAGTGACTTCCAGCGGTTTCACACTATGCTCCACGAACAATACTCCCTAGGAAATATGGTTTGTAGATGTGGCTAGTGGGAGCGGAGGGGTGTTTGTGTTTCATCACTTTGAAAAAAAGACCACAGAATTCAAAATGTCCAACTTTGACGAGACACCTGGGACACGCCCTTCAACGTACAGTCATAAATAGCACAACTTGTAATCAGCAAGATTATTCAAGAGTCCCGTCAAGTTTTGAAGCCGATCTGATAAATTCTCTAGGAGTGTGTTCAAATACAAGACCACGGACTTCAAAATGGCCAACTTTGAGGGCACGCCACGGACACGCCCTTCAACGTACAGTCACAAAATGAAATGCGTTCATTCAGCACCATGTTGTGACTGTACTGCCCAATTTTGAAGAAGATCCGATAGAAGCTGTAGGAGGGGATCATTCAAATAGAAGCCCTGAAAGGCCAAAATGACATCACAGTGTGACATTTGTTCTAAATGGCCAACTTTGAGGGCACGCCACGGACACGCCCTTCAACGTACAGTCACCAAATATAATGTGTTCATTCAGCCCCATGTTGTGACTGGACTGCCCAATTTTGAAGAAGATAACAAAAATTTTTAAAATTTTCCGTTAGAACGTGTCAGAGGAAATCATTCAAATAGAAGCCCTGAAAGGCCAAAATGACATCACAGTGTGACATTTGTTCTAAATGGCCAACTTTGAGGGCACGCCACGGACACGCCCTTCAACGTACAGTCACCAAATATTATGTGTTCATTCAGCCCCATGTTGTGACTGGACTGCCCAATTTTGAAGAAGATCCGATAGAAGCTGTAGGAGGGGATCATTCAAATAGAAGCCCTGAAATGCAAAAATGACATCACAGTGACATTTGTTCTAAATGGCCAACTTTGAGGGCACGCCACGGACACGCCCTTCAACGTACAGTCACAAAATATAATGCGTTCATTCAGCACCATGTTTTGACTGTACTGACCAATTTTGAAGCAGATCTGATAAATTCCCTAGGAGCAGTTAGTTCTAAAACAAGCCCAAAGAGTCAAAATGACCACAAAATGGCCGCCAAAAGTGCAAATTTTAAATGAAAATAGCCGACTTCCTGTGGGATTTGAGGTATGGGTCCAAGAGGCTTTTTTGTACGCCCCGGCACATTATACATGCCTATTGAGTTTCGTACATGTCGGTGAAACGTGGCGCCGGGGCTGATGTTTTTTTATCCTGTAGGGGGCGCTACAAGCAGGACAAACAGGATTTTTGGTATGTGAGCTTCAGGCACCACTCTACACGTACCCTGTGAATTTCATATTCATAACTATTACGAGTGATTTATCATGCCAAAAGAGCACCACCTAGTGGCGTATTTTTTTTGTCCTTTTTAGGTGAGCCTCAGGGAGCCATGGGGAAGCAGCGTACCAAGTTTCATCTTAATCACACATGCCGTTGTAGAGATATAAACTCCTTCATTTTAAAGAGCGCCACCTAGTGGTGATGACCTGAAATTGTGCACGATACATAATGAAGACATGGGGAACTATGGACCCAAGGTTGGTGTAAATCGGACATACCAATGTGGAGAAATACCCCACTTCCTTTTTTGACGAAAAATCAACAGGAAGTGCTAATTGTATAACTTCCTTATGTTTTATAATATCAAAATTCTTCAAATTACTTTTGTTGTCAGGACGGTCCACAGATGAAACGTGCAAAGTTTCGTGCGCATCGGACAAAGTGTGTAGGAGGAACACGAAAAAGTGATTTATGGACATTTTGCGCTCTAGAAAAAAAAAAATCTAGGCGGAAGTGGGCGTGGCCTATATGGGGAGGTTCAGCTCCATTCACCGAACGCGTGGATATAAGGTTTTTGAATGTGAGACAAACTATGCGGGAGTTATTAGCGTATCGAAATTGGCCTACAAATAGCGCCACCTAGTGGCCTTCCTAGTGGCTGACCTGCATGTGACGCATAGAATCTCCAATTTAAATGAGGCTTGACAAATGTGCCAAATAAAATGCGAATATTTTAATTGTTAAGGGGGTGAAAAATGCGAGTCAAAGTCGCTAAAAATAATAATAATAATAATAATAAACGAAGGAAAAACAATAGAGACCTTCCAGTTCATACTGGCTCGGTCCCTAATAAACGAAGGAAAAACAATAGAGACCTTCCAGTTCATACTGGCTCGGTCCCTAATTAAAGCTGCAAGCAGCGTTGGGCGGGACCTCGCACCCGGCGCTCGTCGGGGCGCGCCGCAAACGCGTCACGTGCGGTCGGGGTGCGCCGAGGCCACGCACGTGCCGTCGTAACAAGCGCGGACCGCAACGCGAATACGTCACGTAAATCTGCTCCAAATCAGCTCCGTATCGCCACGCAGCGCTTCCTTCCTGGTGCCAGTATGCTGTGCTTTCACTTTATCTGAATCTTGTCACGTAGACAAGTTCATGGCGGGACTGTAATACGTAGGCTGATGTTATGAGGACGCGTTCAGGGCGAGACTGTTACAGAATATATGAAGTTTATTGGAAATTGGACATTGCACACTGAAGTTATGAGTACCGCTTAATGGAAAATCATCTGAATTCGACAAGGGGTCAGTGGCACGCAGTTTGACGTACAGTCACAAATAGCTCAATTCTTCATGTACACTTTGTTTTTATAAGACTGTCCAATTTTGAAGTCGATTTGATAAGTCCCCTATTTATCTTGCAATTTAATAAGTGACTTCCAGCGGTTTCCCACTATGCTCCACGAACAATACTCCCTAGGAAATATGGTTTGTAGATGTGGCTAGTGGGAGCGGAGGGGTGTTTGTGTTTCATCACTTTGAAAAAAAAGACCACAGAATTCAAAATGTCCAACTTTGACGAGACACCTGGGACACGCCCTTCAACGTACAGTCATAAATAGCACAACTTGTAATCAGCAAGATTATTCAAGAGTACTGTCAAGTTTTGAAGCAGATCTGATAAAGTCTCAAGGACTTTGTTTGTTCAAATACAGGACCACGGGCTTCAAAATGGCCACCTTTGACGGCACGCCACGGACACGCCCTTCAACGTACAGTCACAAAATGAAATGCGTTCATTCAGCACCATGTTGTGACTGTACTGCCCAATTTTGAAGAAGATCCGTTAGAACGTGTAGGAGCAGATCATTCATATAGAAGCCCTGAAAGGCCAAAATGACATCACAGTGTGACATTTGTTCTAAATGGCCAACTTTGAGGGCACGCCACGGACACGCCCTTCAACGTACAGTCACAAAATATAATGCGTTCATTCAGCACCATGTTGTGACTGTACTGCCCAATTTTGAAGAAGATCCGATAGAACCTGTATTAGGAGATCATTCAAATAGAAGCCCTGAAAGGCCAAAATGACATCACAGTGTGACATTTGTTCAAAATGGCCAACTTTGAGGGCACGCCACGGACACGCCCTTCAACGTACAGTCACAAAATATAATGCGTTCATTCAGCACCATGTTGTGACTGGACTGTTTAATTTTGAAGAAGATCCGATAGAAGCTGTAGGAGGGCATCATTCAAATAGAAGCCCTGAAATGCAAAAATGACATCACAGTGTGACATTAGTTCTAAATGGCCAACTTTGAGGGCACGCCACGGACACGCCCTTCAACGTACAGTCACCAAATATAATGCGTTCATTCAGCACCATGTTTTGACTGTACTGACCAATTTTGAAGCAGATCCGATAAATTCCCTAGGATCAGTTAGTTCACAAAGAAGCCCAAAAGGTCAAAATGACCACAAAATGGCTGCCAAAAGTGCAAATTTTAAATGAAAATAGCCGACTTCCTGTGGGATTTGAGGTATGGGTCCAAGAGGCTTTTTTGTACGCCCCGGCACATTATACATGCCTATTGAGTTTCGTACATATCGATGAAACGTGGCGCCGGGGCTGATGTTTTTTTATCCTATAGGGGGCGCTACAAGCACGACAAACCCGATTTTTGGTATGTGAGCTTCAGGCACCACTCTACACGTGCCCAGTGAATTTCATATTCATAACTATTATGGTGTGTGCACAGTGATTTACCCTGCCACCAGAGTGCCACCTAGTGGCGTGATTTTTTTTCCTTTTTAGGGGAGCCTCAGGGAGCCATGGGGAAGCAGCGTACCAAGTTTCATCTTAATCACACATACCGTTGTAGAGATATAAACTCCTTCATTTGAAAGAGCGCCACCTTGTGGTGATGACCTGAAATTGTGCACGATGCCTAAGGAAGACATGGGGAACTATGTACCCAAGCATGGTGTCGATCGGACATACAAATGTGGAGAAATGGTCCACTTCCTTTTTTGACGAAAAATCAACAGGAAGTGCTAATTTTATAACACGCTTATTTTTTAAAATATCAAAATTCTTCAAATTA